TTTTTTTAAAAATTTTTAATTTTTTTTTTTAAGTAAACTCTATGCCCAACATGGGGCTTAAACTCATGATCCTGAGATCATGCTCTACCCACTGAGCCAGCCAGGTGACTCTAAAACTAATTCAGTATTATATGTCAACTATACTTCAATTAAAAACATTTTTTTTAATTAAAAAAAAAAAAAAAAAAGGCGGCTTCTGGTCTGTGAGACACCAGCAACACCTAAGGGCAAAAACAGCTACTTTCATCAGGGGAGAGTGAGAAAACATTTACATACTGAATCCAGAGATTCCCGACCTCCTTTCCCACCTGACTAAGAACTCTGGTAGCCAGGACTTTTATCAACAAGCAGAATATTAAAATACTCTTTTCTGGGCAATCTAATCATATCAAAAAAAGAAAGTCTTCAAGATGACTTAAATTTCTCAAAGAACCAGTAAAGCCATATTAATCTACATGAAGGGCTTCACTGACAAGCCCCACCTACCAGTGCAGCGTTTCCCGGGCCATGGACCACAATTACTTCAGACAAGGCTAAATCTAAGAACCCAAGTTAAAGAAACAGGAAAGAGTGAGAAAGACACTTCAAAGAAACAGAAACTACGAAGCTCAGAAAACAACATCTTTTGCTAAGTTTGGTGAAGGATGAGATGGTGATACATATTAAGTTAAGAAAGAAAGAAAGAAAGAAAAAATGGCTCCAGAGGAAACAAGAAGGCTGTACAGGAAAGAAAAAGCAATCATAATTTACTACATGGCTCAGCTGGGAATCATTTTAAAACGTTATAAAAACATAAATATGAAGCACGGCCTAATCAAAATAATGACATAAAAGATACTGTGAGGATGGGATAAAGGGAAGAGTGCATGTGTGAGCCACCATATGTGGATGAAGGAAGGACATCAAGAGATAAGGCCTAAAACATCCAAAGTAGAGCAAAACCACCATGATGTTTGGGAATATCAAGTAATTACTAAATGAATCAGCGAAGAGTTCGAAGTGGTTGCCTGTGGTATGTCACAAAGAGGGACACAAGAAGTTGGGCAATTGTGGATTTTCATGATGAACCCAAGTTTTTCCTCTCTCAACTATGTTTATGTGTAATTCTGATAAAGATTTAAAAAGCTAAAATATATCTTTTCAATGTTCCCATTCCTATGACAAAGCAAAGCAAAAGGTTTTTACTGATTGCAAATTAACTTTGCCTCTACTTAGTAGGTATACAATACTTACATAACTTCAATGGCCACAGGGGGAAGAAACTGTTCACTTTATGAGAGCTGACACTTAAAAGCCTTCAAATGGGAGACTTTGAACACTTTCACTCTCATAACATTTTGGTAAGTTAGATAATTCACCTCTTTGTCAACTTCTGATAAGAAATCTCCTCCTTGTTTTTGAATAAACTGTCCAACCAAAGTCCAACCAAAACAAAAAACAATAATCTATGCTTTCAGGAAACTTCTCATGAAATAGCAGCATACAAAAATGTTACTGAATGGTAAGTAAAGAACTGACTGCCACCTACGAGCAACGATTCTATGTTACCTTACTGCTCACCTAAAGTTTTTCACATGGTCTTCCACTCCTGAAAGACGAATCGAATGCTGTAGTGCGCTCAGGTAAGTCAAAGCTTGTGTAGAGGATCCCCAGTTCACATCTGTGGGAAGACAGTGTTCATGCAGCAACACACCAATATTAACCAACAATCAATAACCAATTTGAGACACAGAGAAGTAAACAGTGCTTTCATATTTAAAAAATCAACTGCTAAAATAAACCAATGTACTCAGAACTTTCGATAGTTCAAGTCCATAGCATGACACTATGAAAATGCTAATCTGAACTGTAATTGCTTTTAAAGCAAAATGTACAAAAAACGAAGGTGACAGGGCTGCAGACATGCTGTGCATGCAACTCACAAAGTTCCACAAATAATTTTAAAATTATTGTTTATATAGGCAGAGGTCTAATGGGAAAGAGGCAGCTCTCTGAAAGATTTCAAAACTCTGAAAGTACCGTTTATAGTGCTTAACAGTTAAGTTATTTGAACAGGCAAATTTCACTCTGTATTGAATAAACAGCCTGGGCACCAAATATGATTTTAGACATTTGTTATTTTAGAGAAATAATTGTTTCTAAGATGGTTAAAACATTACCTTCTTTGTCCATTTCATTTCTAAGGCCAGCACTCTTATCCAAAACCTCATTGTGTCATATCTGGATTACAAAATGTTTCCTCACAGTTTCACATGACTACACTGCAACCACTCTTGTAATTTCTTCCTAAACTATTCTTTTGGGGCCCAAACTTGTTAAACCTTTTTCACTGGTTCTTCCCTCAGAGTTAGAGGTCACCATACTATACTGGATCAATCCCAACATACCCGAGTATCATTGTCTTCTGTGGAGATACACCCAATAGTTATCAGTGTGACACCTTCTGGGTAATCTTTAACTATTTTCCAGCTAAAAATACCTTTGTCAAATTAGGGAAGATACTACGTCTTTCTAATATACCATACATTCTGTCGTACTTACTATACAGCAGGTGCTAAGACTGCAGTAGTAATACACGTTTATTAGGCTAACAGCTACTACAAGAGCTATTTCACTAAGTCTAACCCTTTCAAAGAAAATTTTAAAGTATATTGAGGCCACCGACATGTTAATAATACAAATTTGTCATTTTTCTGCAAGTAGGATTAGTTAAATCTAACTTATGGGTAAGTAGGAATTCCAGAGAATAAAGCCCTGTGGTAATTATTTTCACTAAAACTACATGTATTTGGAAATGAGGTATTTTAGGTTTTACAAAGCACCTTTCAAGTACACAAAAGATGATGTTTCGATATGAAAAGCCACAAAGAACTTCTAGATATTTTCTAGCTTGAATATACATAATAAATCTACATAATAAATGTAAAAAACTACTGACCTGGTTTTTTGTAGGTAACATAAATATACAGCCCAAGGACTATTACATATGTTAGCAACGCAGCCCACCAGTTAATGACGAACATCACTATGCAACAAAGAATCGCTCCAAGAAGTGATATCCACATGTTGTAGTATTTGAATGCAGGACGCCACCCTAACAATCACAAATAAAATAGAGACATCAAAGTCACTCAAAGACCTTATCTGCTTTAGACAAGGATACATAGGTATGCACAATATAACTTTCTTTGTGGTTGCTTTAAACAAGTATAAGGCTAATGTATGACAGTAAAGTCATAGAGCATTATTGAGTACAATTTCTGAAGGCCATGAAGAGAGCCCATCTATTTACTTCTGTTTTATTCTATGTTACTAGTTTCTGTATTCAATAAACTCTTCATAAAAAAAAAAAAAGTTTAAATCAGCGTATCTTAATTAATGGTTAAAAACTACAAAAGATTGAAAGAGGTTTTCAAATACAGCCCTTAGTAGTGTGGTTTTATGTTCTGGATTTTTAGCATAAGACATACCCATATTCTAATGAATATACAGAAGAGTTCAAACAGAATATTCTTGAAAATTGTTAGAAGTTGATCAACCTGCTAGAAAAATTAACAGTTGAGTATAGAAACTTACCTTCAGTGAAGTATTTAAGAATTAAGCTCACTCTAAAAAAATGCTGAAGACCATGTTTTAAAGTTTTCATTCCATAGCCAAAAAATATTTTTAAATCATAATTTAATATATTTTATATTCTTTTTTAAATCAAATTTCACACAAAGTTATGAGAAATAATTCAGAGAAATTCTGGGGAACCTTTTACCTAATTTCCCTCAATGATAACACCTTGCAAAATGATACTATAATATCACAACCAGGATATTGTTATTAATACAGCCAAGATAAGAGGCCAGTACAAGCATCCCTTGTGCTGCCCTTCATAGCCACAAAGACACCTCTGAAATTTATATTCTTAAAGTTCTGAGAGGCTTTTGGGTCCTTAGAAGGAAAAGTGCTTTTTGCTCCTTCAATTCTTTCCCTGATGTCCAACTGTTATGATTAATAACAAAAACCCCTCAATAAAAGTATACGAGGCACTTCTCCAGTTGCAAGAGACCCTTTATAATAGAACTCTGCAAACTTATAGTGTCGAAAATATTCATCTGGGCAGGTTAGCTATACCAAAATAATGTTCTCAGAACTTGAAACAGAAAGCAGCTAAATAAATAAAAACAGGGAAAGAAAAGCACAATAATTCTTTCAAAGTGTTAGTCAAAATTTGAGATTAACACTCTTACACGCTTCTAAGACAAGAAACAGTACATTACTGGGAAACATCATGATAAAGAGATCTTTGAAAACGCAGTTAATTTGACTCAACTGTAAGAGCTGACTGAGCATTAATGGGCTAAACACTCACAATACCTATCTTTTAAAACGTGTTAAAGTCTTATTTTCCCTAAAATCAAAGACATTAGTGCATTTACAAAATTTTTTAAAAATGGAAAATCACCTGGAGATTTTGCAAGTGATGCATGGAACACCGAAAAATTGATCAATGCATACGATGCAAGGAAGAAATTAGAGATAATTGGAGCAATAACATTCAGCTCGGCTGCAAAAGAAACATGAGGTATATTTACTGACACATTACTTTTTGACTTTTTAAAAAATGAAATTATTTTAAACCTTTAGATGACAGCCTTAGGAATACCCCCTTTTCCACCATTCAGACTTAATGAATACTTATACTTTGTCAGATATAGTTTGTATACTTTACTTTTCAGGAATCAAACCTTAGGTCCATAGTTGAAACCCTTTATACCTCATTCTTCCAAAGTTGGTGTATTTTTTCCAATGATATTATATGGTTTTACTAAAAACATATATAGTCCACAAACATTATTAGGTAGTCCCGTTTTGGGTATTTTAAAAGTTAGACAAATAATATCACACTATATTTATATTTATTATTCTGCAATTTGATCTGATACATTTATTATATTAGAGATTCATTCATATTGATATATGAAAATCAATTTTAATAATTTTTTTTACTCCTCTGAGTATTATTCTGCAGTTTCGTTCTTCTGTTAGTAGGTATTCAGGTTGCTTCCATTTTTCACTATTGTAATTAATGACACTAAAAACATGCTTGCATGTGGCTCTTTGGTTATATATTCAAGTTTCTTTAGGGTAAATACTCCTAAAGAGAATTGCTGGATTGTGAGAAACCTTACTCAACATTGCTAATTTGTTCTCCCAAGGTAGCCTTACCAAATAGATACCTAGCAGCATTACATGAGAGTTTCCACACATGGTGGTATCATCAGACATTCAATAAAAGCCCACTGTCATCTTTAGCAGTGGAAGACTCATTAGCTCACTTGCGATCAGAGGCAAAAGTACCAAAAAGAGGCTCAGTGAAGGCCGTACCTTCAGGAGGGGGCACTGAAATCCTTTCCCTTATGTTATTATCTCATTTGTTTCAGGGACAAGAATCTCTCTCATGAGGATTTAATGACGATAGTAATTTCAGCAAATATGTATTGAGCACTTTTATTTGCAGTACTTTCTATATATTCTTTAAATTGACCACAAAGAAACTAACTTTGTTTACTAGGCAAAGTAAGGTTTTGTTTATAATTTATTAATTCAATGTTTAGAGCTAATACTGTAAATACTCCAAAATTTGTATTAGCACGTCATTTATATGACTAACCAATTAAGATGAATCCAAGGGCAATTAAGAATGTTAAGACGTAGCCACGAAGAGGTTCATTATTTTTCCCATAACCTTTAGCAAACATTTGGAAAGCTGGGTAGATGTTGTCCTTACAAAGAGCCTAGGGAAGAAACGTAAATATTAGAAGGAAATGTAACACAGTTAGACATACAGATTTCCTTACAGTTTTAATAGGTTACTCAGGAATAGAACACAAGTTTCTAACTCTTGTTCCTCGTTCTTCCCCCATATCATACTGCTTTACCTACAACCTATAAAGGAGACCAAACATTTCAAGCATCAAAAGGTAGTTGGTTCAGAATACCACTGAAGTTTTTATCTGCTTAACCCCACTTCATATTGAAATTCTTTCAGGAAAATAAAAAAATCAGAGAAGCAGGTACATGAATAAAAGAAATGTGAACACTTGGTAAGTATGACATAAGTATGAAAAGTAAGAAAAAAGTCTGAATCCTAGATTTAAAGCAGATAAAAATCCTAATTATAAACTTAACCACTTTTGTTAAAACTTTACTAAAAATTGTTTTAAGAAATATATTCTACAGGGCGCCTGGGTGGCTCAGTCGTTAAGCGTCTGCCTTCGGCTCAGGTCATGATCCCAGGGTCC